CCTTCCGCCCCGACCGTTTTTATTTCGGCACGGCACACCCGCCTCCGCATCCCCCCGCTCGGCACGGCACATCGCCTCCTCATCCCCCACCCACCAGTCAGCGCGCCCCTCCGCCCCGACCCTTATTTCGGCACGGCAGACCCCTCCGCCCCGACCCCTTTATTTCGGCATGGCACACCACCTCCACAGCCCCTCCGCATCCCCACCACCCACCAGCCAGCGCACCCCTCCGCCCCGACATCCTTCTTATTTCGGCACGACATACAGCTCTGACGCGACTTTTTTTTGTTGGCACGCCCCCCCCCGCGCCCTCTCCGCCCCGACCTCCTTTATTTCGGCACGGCACACCCCTCCGCCCCGACACCTTCATCTCGGCACGGAACACCGCCTCCGCATCACCCCACCCACCAGCCAGCGCGCCCCTCTGCCCCGACCCCTTTTATTCCCCAATCAGAGCTTGCCTCTGTAGGGGTCCTAGCGGATTTTCCCAAATCAGAGCTTGCCTCTGTAGGGTCATAGCGGATTTAAAGGTACGTGAGGTGTGCCGCCGATTCGGTGGCCGGGCCCCGGTGCCTGGGTGCCCGGGTGCCCGGGTTCGCCGCCGATTCGGTGGCCGGGCCGGGGTGACGGCGGGTGCCCGGGTGCCCGGGTTCGCCGCCGATTCGGTGGCTGGGCCCAGGTGCCGGGGTGCCCGGGTGCGCGGGTGCCCGGGTTCGCCGCCGATTCGGTGGCCGGGGTCCGGGTGCCCGGATGCCCGGGTGCCCAAGGGCCCATGCAGGTGACGGGTGCCCGGTGCCCGGGCGGGTGCCCGGGTGCCGGGTGCCGGGTGCCCGGGTGCCCGGTGCCCTGTGACCCTATAGCCTTATGGCCCTATAACCCTATCGCCGCCTTATAACCCATATAGCCATTTCGCCATATAGACCATCTAGCGCCCAAGAGCCCAAATAGCCCTGTAGCCCTACAGCCCTAAGAAGATTAGGATTGGGTTTTTTTCTTTGGTATCATTTCGGCACGGCACACCCCTCCGACCCGACTCCTTCATTTTGGTGCGGCACCGCCCCTCCGCCCCTTCCGCGCGCGCCCGCTCCGCACCCCCGCCACCCTTCAGCCCGCGCGCCCCCTCCGCCCCGACCCCTTTCGTTTTGGTGCGGCACCGCCCCCTCGGCCCTGGCCAATTCATCTCGGCACGGCACCGCTCCCCCCCACCCCGACCGCACCCTCCGCATCCCCCCATCCACCAGCCAGCGCGCCCCCTCCGCCCCGACACCCCCATCCCGAGCGCCCTCTCTATCACCCCATTCACCAGCCAGCGCGCCCCTTCCGCCTCCTCCCACTTCCTTTCTGTGCAGCAGCCATGGTGCGCGTGCCACTTGTTGGGGAACGTGGCCCTCGGAATGCGGACGCTACGTAATTGACTATGGAGCGCGGCCTTGGGACAGCGGTTGCCGTGTAATTTACTAGGGAGCCTGGCCCCGGGAGCGCGGACACAGCGTAGTTTACAAAGGATCGTGGCCCAGGGAGAGCGGACGCAGCGTACTTCACGAGGGATCGTGGCCCTGGGATCGCGGACGCAGCGTAGTTTACAAAGAATCGTGACCGCGGGGGAGCGGACGCAGCGCACTTTACGAAGGACCGTGGCTCTGGGAGCTCGGACGCAGCGCACTTTACGATGGAAAGTGGCCCTGAGATCGCGGACGCAGCATAGTTTACAAGGATCGTGGCACAGGGAGAGCGGACGCAGCGTACTTTACGGATCGTGGCTTTGGGAGCGCGGACGCAACTTAATTTACAACGGATCGTGGCCCTGGGAGCGCGGACGCAGCGTAATTCACTAGGGATCGTGGCCCTTGGATGGCGGACGCAGCGTAGTTTACGAAGGATCGTGGCCCAGGGAGAGCGGACGCAGCGTGCTTTACAAGGGATCGTGGCCCTGGGAGCGCGGACACAGCGTTATTTACAACGGATCGTGGCCATGGGAGCGCGGACGCAGCTTAATTTACATGGGATCCTGGCCCTAGGGGGGGCGGACACATTGCAATTTACCGGGGAACGTGGCCGTCGGAGCGCGGACGCAGCGTAGTTAATTCATTATGGAGCGCGGCCCTGGGAGCGCGGACGCAGCGTAGTTTACCAGGGATCGTGGCCCAGGGAGGGCGGACGCAGCGTACTTTACAAGGGATCGTGGCCTTGGGAGCGCGAACGTGGCCCTGAAAGCGCGGACTTCGCGTAATTTACGAAAAAATCTTGGCCCTGGGTCAGGGACGTCCCGTGGCACGTTCCCTGACGCGTTCCCTGGCACGTTCCCTGGCGCATCGCCTGGCACGTTCCCTGGCACGTTCTGTGGCGCGTCCCGTGGCCGAGTCCCCCAGGCAAGTCGCGCGGCGCGTCCCCTGGCGCGTCCCATGGCACGTCTCCAAGCACATCCCCTGGCGCGTCCCTTGGAACGTTCCGCGGTGCGTCCCCCTGGCATGTCCCCCTGTCAATTAGCTCTGGGGCAGCTAGTATGTGCTCAGGCAGCTCAAACTCAAGATCCAGATCAGTTCGGTCAGGACTCGGATGCAAAGGAGGATTCGATCCACAACGCTATAGACATGGAGCACAATCGCGGTATGGCACATCACAATTCAACACGGCGCAGCACAACACAGCCCTTGGCACGGTACATCAAGATCGATACACTCAGCATTGCAATCGCCCGTCGCCCAATCAAATGTCTTGAAAACGTTGCCATGCCTCATATTTCCATATTCCTTCCCGGGTTCGTGGGTCGATCATGTCTCGTTTTCCCCCGGTGCCATGCTTGAAGGAGACCGGTGAAACCATGTCCGATACATAACAAGGTAACGTCCAATCCGTCATGGAACAAATGCGTTTCGCGCGTGCCCGCTCGATGAAAATTAGCCCCCCCCCATGTCGGATCATCGTTGCCTAATGGGGTCCGCAGACCCCCGCATTCCCTAGTTCAAAAAAGGATGCGGAGCGTTTTGCTAAAAAACAACAAACTAAATAACGAAGTTTGGAGCCCCGAGCGGGACACAACAAACGTAAGAATGTCGACTTTTTGCGTGCCCGCTCGAGGATGGCGCGTCCTACGCGAAGAAATTCTGGGGATGTCTCGAGCGAAGCGCTCGTTTTGCAAAATTTGAAGGGCCTTGGCTCCAGGATGCTCAGGGGGTTCTGAGAGCACGAATCCAGCGTAATTTGCAAGGGATTGCGGCCTTGGGAGCGCAAATCCCGCGTAATTTACGAGGGCTCGGGAACCTGGGAGCGCGGATCCAGCATAATTTACTAGGGACCGTGGCCCTGGGAGTGCGGGGGGCTGCGTAATTTCTACGTGTCAAGGCTACCCATTGAAGTATCTAACATGGTTGTCCCGAACAAGGACCACGTGTTTTAACGTTTCCAGGCCACCCAGGGGTGTATCTAACATGGTTGCTCAGAGCTGGATCCAAAAGTTGTTACATGTCCAGGCCACCCAGCGGGGTATCTAACAGAAATGTCCCGAACCGGAACCACGTGTTTTTACATGTCCAGGCCGCCCAGGGGGGTATCTAACATGGCGTCGGATCCAACGCCGAATTATAAGGAAACGCACGGGGGGCCGAAAAGCGCTACCCGAACACATATCCCAATACAGACAAATTATGTGTTCTTGCTCTGGACAGGGGGTGGCTCGTTGGGGGCCTCCCCACGGAAGACATTGCGAGGATGTCCAAAGCGGGGGCGCGATTTCAGCGTATCCAGGCCACGCAGGGGGTATCTAACATGGTTGTCCCGAGCTGGCAACATCCAGGACACCCAGGGTGAAATCTGTCATGGTTCTCCCGAACTCAAAACACGTGTTTTAAAAATCCGGGCCACCCAAGGTGGTATCTAACATGACTGTCCCGAGCTGGCACCATGTGCTTTTACGTGTCCAGGCCACCAATGGGGGATATCTACCATGGTTGTCCCGAACAAGGACCACGAGTTTTACGTGTCCAGAACACCCAGGGGTGTATCTAACATGATTGCCCAGAGCTGGTCCTACGTATGTTTACGTGTCCAGGCCACCCAAAGGGGTATCTAACATGATTGTCCAGAATTGGAACCGCGTGGATTTACGTGTCCAGGCCGCCCAGGGGGAATTTAACATGGTGGAGCCAGGTGCTTCCACGTGTCCAGGCCACCTAGGGGGTATCTAACATGGGCCTCTTGATGCCTGCCTGGGGGCCCGGAACGAACGTCTGACATGAAGATGTGTTGAGGATGTCTCGAGCGAGCCACTTGTTTTCACGTGTCCAGTTCGCCCAAGCGGGTGTCTAGTCTGAGGTGGCACGTCCATTGGCACGTTCCGTAGCGCGTCCCCTTGGCACGTCCCGCGGTGCGTCCCCATGGCACGTCTCCTGGCACGTCGCATGGCGCGTCCCTTGGGACGTTCCGCGGCGCGTCCTCCTAGCATGTCTCCTTGTCAATTAGCTCTGGGGCAGCTACTATGTGCCCAGGCAGCTCGAGCTTAAGATCTAAATCAGTTCGGTCAGGTTTCGAATGCAAAGGAGGACTCGATCTACAACACCATAGAGCACAATCGCGGCATGGCACATCGCAATTCGGCACGGCGCAGCACAGCACAGCCCTCGGCACAATACATCAAGATCGATACACTCAGCATTCCATCTCCCCGTCGCCCAACCAACTGCCTTTTCAACGTCGCCAGGACTTTCAGTTCTATATTCCTTTCCGGGTCCGTGGGTCGATGATATACACAGGTAAATATATACAAATAACAGGACTCCCCTATGTTTTGCAATATTTTCTGGTATTTTGTCTTCCCCCACACTTCCCATATTTTCCCATATTTTCTAAGGAATCGACGATTCATTTTGTCTGTGTGTTTTTTCCCTCCTGAGAGTACTCCTCCTGTAGAGGGGCACGCCCGACTTGACCCTCACGCGAGGCAAGACGGCGATATCGGTACCCCTTCCTCCCCTGACACTGGGCGGCCGCTCCCCGGCTGGCACCGGGGCGGTCTCGAAGATCCACTGGTGAACGTCGTACCTCTTCTTGTGCTCGAAGACCTGGTCCTGGAGGCACGGCGGGCGGGGCAGGGCGAAGACCGGCACTGGCCATCGCTCGGACGTCCATTCCCTGTGTTTTTGTCCGGTTTCGTGCGTGTTTTTGTCGCCAAATGATCAAGAATCCTCCTCGATGGTCCTCGCCGAAGGAAAACTGCACACGTCCTAGCGATGCCAAGAAGACCGACAGTGATCCACGGGGCTCAGTGAGTGCGCTGGGTCCCCCTCCCCCCCCGGCGCGGCTCGCGCGCCACTAAGGGGGGGCCCTGCGCTGAGCCACCAAGATCGCGCGGGCCTCTGAAGGTCGATGCTCATGTGCCGCGGGTTCGTGCCGTGTCGACACTGGCGTTGGTTCGTGACACCGCGGAGACCGTTTCAGCTTGAACAATTGATCGTTTCCGAACCGCCGGCGGCGAGGTCGCCGCCGGTCGACACGACACGAACCTAGCTTCTGGCTCTGGTGGATCACTGGCTTCTTGCTGTTCTGGAGCAGGAACAACATGGATCGACAGCACAACCGCCACCCTCTTTGACAGCCAGGGCGGGCTCCCCTCCCAGAGATGCGACGCTCTGATGTTTTCACTACGAGGCCCCCTGAAGCCCCGACCCTTTCCCTGGGGCCAATTCTTCATCCTTTGAGCAGGGACTGACGTCCCAGCATTCCTATAGGCCTACCACGCAACGTTCCTAGAACCCAACAATGTTCTAAGAACAAACACCGTGTTCTTAGAACACTTGCCCGATGTATTAAACAAGACAAGTCTTAGCCAGACATGTTCTAATAGCATGTCTTTAACACCGCAAGAGTTTCTTATAACATTTTTTGGTGGGCCTACAGGCACGCCAAGATGCTTCGCCACTGCTTGAATCCTGACTAGTCGGAGCCTGTTTTGTTGTTAGACTCCAGCAAGTTTACTTGCATTGACGGGGGGCGGAACCTGAAGCAAGCCACAAACAACCCGCACATGCGGAGATCACGCGAGTCGCGAGGCACCTGCACGCCAGCTTTTGCTTGAAGAGGGGCGAGGGAATGGGGGGGGGAACGCCATGCAAGTAAACTTGCCTGAACAAAAAGAACGGCTCTTGCTTGACGGCCCCGGGGCCCGGCGAGGGCCCCGAGAGCCCAAACATGGCCAAACACCTTCCACCGTGGTCCTCCTACAGCGAAGGGAAACTGGGACACACAAATAAATACACAGAAATAAAATTATCCCTCATATTTTCCTATATTTTCTGGGTTTTTGTCTTCCCCCCCACTTCCCATATTTTCCCAAATTTTCTGGGAATCGCCGATTAATTGTGTCTGTGTGTTTCTGTCCCTCCTGAAAACACCTTCCATCGTGGTCTTCCTACAGCGCGATCATGCCTGGGCGTCGCGGTGCGGTCTCTCGGCTCTGTGGCGTCCCGTCCGAGGCCACCTCCAGCCAGGAGGCTCACGACGCCTCCCGGCGCCTCGGAAAGGCATATCGGGGACCTCCTTGCCGGCGCCGGCCCGCTGGCAGTGGTGGCGTCGCTTCTGCACCGACTGGGCCGAGGAGAGACTCCAGTGATTCGGAGGTAACTGCTGGGATACGACGAAGCCACAACGACGATAACATTGGGCGAGGGCAAGCCAAGAATCTCTGAGATCCTGCGGTTCTGGAGGATGTCTCGGGTGCCGCGACCTTCTCAGAGCGTCCAGGAACGCTCTGAGAGCGTTCTGGGACGCTCTCTGGAACGGATGTATCCTTGTCGTAGCCCCCGGCGGGAGGCATTCGCAGGGACGATTCAAGGCTGTAAGCCAGATCATGAGGCCATTCAGACGGAGTGAGCCCGAGATCAAGCCATGTTGGGCGGGAGTACGCAGGATTGAGCTGACCTTAGCGGGATTGTGCCCGAATCGGCCAGCTTCCGACGTCGGATAGACCAGCGCAAATGCTGAATTGAACCTCCCAGGATGGGCGTCCCAAGAAGAGGGGAGAAGGCAAAGACACACGGCCGACGACCAGGAAGCGTCCACAGGCCCGATCCGAGCCCTGGCGTCGGTGCAAGCCGGGCCCCTTCAACGCTGGGAGGCAGCGTCCGCCGATACCCGGGACCAGAGCGGGTGTGCGGAGGCTAGATGGCGGTAGATGCGCTCATTCCCCGTTTCTGGGTGGTTGCGATAATCGGCGGCGGGCGAGGGGGGGAAATGAGAAGGAGAAGGTCTTCTGAGAAGGCGGCGGGACATCTCAGAAGCCCTCGCGCCTTCTGAAAAGCTTTCTGTGCCCTCGGGGAAGGCCGAGAAAGCTTCTCAGAAGGCCGGGGGACTTCCGAACCTTCTGAGGAAGGCCCCCCTGCTCACTTCCCCCCCTCGCTCGCCGCCGAAAGAAGGCTTCGGGCTGCGCACATTCAGCCTGCCCCGGGTGGTCCCCGCTGGCCTCAGCTTGTCCCCCGATCAGCTCGGGGCGGTCTCGACACCCTGGCGCAGCGTTCGGCGGGCGGCGCCCACTGGGCCGCTCCGCGCCCACAGGTTGGGGCGTGGAGACCGCCCCCGACCACTCGGGGAACCCGTGGAGGCCAGCCGGGACTCCCTGCTAGAGGGGGGGCTGTCTCTGCGCAACGCGACGCCTTGCCAGGTGGTGACCCCTGGCCAACATGTCCCCGGATTTCCGCGCAAGCCTGGAGCCCCGTTGGGGCCCTCTGGGCCTCGCGACGGGTGCCGCGGAGGCCGTTGGGACGCCTAGGACCAAGGAGACCTGTGGCAACACCCAGTGTTGGGGAAACCAAAAGGTACTGGTACTGCCACTCCCCGGACCTCCCCCGGGGTACGTTCTGACCAGGATTCCGAGGCGAAACCAGCGGTGGCGACGAGGGCCTCCCAAGAGGCCTACAAAGGCAAAGAGAAAACGAGGGAAGGGTAGCGGAATGGGTACCTGTCCCTTCCCTGAAATCCTATCCACGCGAAAAGGGGACCCACGGGCGGTCCCGAAAGGGCGGGAAACCTCCCCGATCTTTGGGAGTGGGGCGAAGGCGGGAATCCGTGGGTCCCAGAGGTAGGAGGAGTGGGGCTGCAGGAAAAGGGGGGGGGGATGGGGCGGGGGCATTTTTTTATCCTATCACCCTGGGGCTTGTCATGCACCAACAAATTCGGAGGCCGTCTTACGGCCCAGCAAACAGAGCTTGCACAGGCCCACGGCCGACCAGGCCCAGACCCCGAAACGCGACCGTCACTCCGCGCTCAGACCAACCACTGGCCTGGGGTCCGCCGTCCTGGCCGCTCTGACGGCCCTGCCTCGCTCCAGTGCGTCAGCAGCGCTGGCAAAGCCGAAGGAGCTCAGGGCTCCCTCGAGCCCTGGGCGGAACAACCTCCCAGGGGCAGACGGGACGGGTGCCCGAACCCGCACCTCTGGGGGCACCACGGCGGGGTCTCTGGAGCCTGCAGGGGCCACGGGGTCCCCCATGCCCTCAGGGCCAGCGACCGAGCCTAGCGCCTCGGCCCATCTGGCACGGGTGGCCGCTGTGGGCCGAGCCAACTGGTCGACCGGCTGCTTGGATTTCCCAGGCAGGATCGACTTCGCGAAATCGTTTCGCGCCTGCGCCCTTGAGCCCTTTTTGGCCCTGGGGTCGTCAGCGCGCTGGGCCCCGCTGCAGGCCTTGGCCAGGGGCAGTACTGGGGTTTCAGACAATACATCCAGCATGCCACACACACCAAAAACTCAGGGCCGTCCCCGCCCGAAACGCGCGATTCACGAAGACGGTGGCCGTTGACCTCCCAGGCTCCTGACTCGACAGGGTCGTCCTGGGACGGGCCATCACGCGAAACACACGAAAGAGAGACTCTCGACCTTTGGCCAGAGACTGGGGTCTCTAAAAGGGGCCTTGGGGTCCTCCCCTGGCCAGCAGGGCCCGAGCGAGCACGCGGAGGCGGGGCGGCGGCCGCAGAAGCAGGGGAGGCCGCATGGGGAAGGAGGGGGAGGGGGCTGCGACGCGGCCGACAGGGGCGGGCACGGTGCGCCCGCGGCCGAAGGCGCCGCCCGCTCCGCCTTCTCTGCGCGGCGGCGCTGGACCGCACGAAGCAGGGCCGCCGACGCGCTCGACGCGTCAGCGACTGGATCACTGGGCCCTACTGGCCCCTCGTCGGCCTCCTTCCTCTTGCGGACCTTCGAGACGGCCTGGTCCTGGGACTGGGCTCCCTGGCTGGCCGCCGCTGCCGTCGCCAGCGCTGCTGCCGCCCCCAGGGCCGCCAATCCACCTTGGCCTCGGGCAGTCGACTCCTCGGCCTCCAGCAGCAGCCCCAAGTCGGGCGGCGGGGCGAAGGGGTCCAGGTCCACGAGGTCCAGGGAGGTGAGCGGCCAGGAGTCCCTGAGCCCCGACTCAGTGATGTGCACCTCGAGGGCCGCCGCGCACCTGGCCACCTCCTTCGCCCGCGCCAGGCAGCCCTCCAACATCAGGGCGTCATGCTCGGCGATGGCGTGGAATGCCGCTCCTTCCTTAGCCCTGGTGTCGGCGCGCCTGTTGGCCACGAGCTCGAAGAGGGTGAGATCCCCGTCCTGCACCGCGGCCTCCGTGCGGTGGGCGGGCACGTGGCGCATGGTGACGCCCTCCGCCGCATCGCCCACCCTGGCCCACACGTGGGCGTGCAGGGAGCTGGGGCCGCAGGCCTTGGACAGGTTAGACGCAGCCTTCACCGTGCTCAGGCAGTCGCTGAGCAGCGTGTAGTTCCCGATGATGTCGGCGAGGCCGATGGCGGCCGCGTAGTCCTCGCCCGCCTTGGCCGTCTGCGACGGGAGGACGCTGGGGGGCACTGCGCCCCACGCCTCGGCGATGAGCCTCCCCTCGGGACCGTGCACTATGACCGCCCAGCCTGCGCTCCTGACGTGCGGGAAGTCCCCGTTCAGGCACGAGCCGTCTGTGAAGACGAAGGACCCATCTGGTACCACCAAAATGCCGTCCCCCCACCCGCAGGAACGCCGCGCCCAGCTGTCATCCCAGGCTGGCCTGGCCACCAGGAGGCTGATGTCGACGAAGAGCCCCTGACTGAATAGCTCGTCGAAGGGGGCCCCCATGCGGTGGGCCTGCTCCGCTGCCTGACTCACCTGGCATGGGCAGTAGTCCCGCCTCCATGCCGCCCAGGCTGGGCACACATGGTGTCTGTGGTGCATCGTCCCAGGGGCGGCTCCGCAGAGCTTGCAGAGCGGGTCAATCTCACGCCCATGCCTCGCCAGTCGGGCCTGGGGCCAGCTGGCCAGCGACGCCAATCGTCTCAGGCAGCCTTTGTGGTGAGCCGCCCAGGTTTCCGACTCTTTGGCTCCGAGGAGCTGGTTGACCGGCGTCCACCACGGCGGCGGCCGCCACTGCCAGAAGGTCTCGGGCCTGCTGACGTACTCCTCGAGCGATGCCGCCTGACGCGTGTCCTCTTTGACCCTGGCGGCGAGGAAGGCGGGCGAGGACCTCATGACATCGAACTCGCTGCCCCCCCTGTCGGTTAGGATGCGCCCGCCAGCTCTGAGGCCCCAGCCGACCCGCCCTAGCGTGGGCACCAGCGCCGAGACGGGGTCGCGCACCGCGGCCCACGGCCTCTGCAGCGAGGCCAGACGGCTGCTGTCCCTGAGGCAGGCCTGCACTGCCGCAGGAGAGGCCTGGCCAGACAAGCTCATGGCCACGAAAGCCTGGACAGCCATGCCCGTCGCAATCACCAGCGGGTCCTGCCTCCAGCCCTGGGGCGCGCACTGCAGGCAGAAGGTCAGCGCGGCTCCCGTCGGCAGGTTGCAGGCGGCTTTCGCCGCAGATATCCTGAGTGCCCTCATGCGCCCAGGCGGGATCCCGCTGATGGCCGAGCCCCACAGGGCCTTGGCAGCGGGGCCTGCCCTCTGGATCTTGGCCTGCCTCATCCCCGAGCCGAAGATCCTGGTGAGGTTGTTGCCCTGCCGCAGCGCCGCCAGCTCCCTGGCCACCTGCGTCCCGACCCTACGGTGGCTACCCGCCGTCGCGTCGCCTCCGAGGTCACGGTGGCCCGCGACGAAGGCTTCGTCTGCGAGGACCCAGTCGGCGTGCTGCTGCAGCTCTCTCCTCAGCTTCACCGAAGAGCCAGTGCCTTGGTCTTTCCCCAGTTGATGGGGAGCCGCTTGTCGCCCAGCATGGTGGCAACGCCCTTCGCGAACCTGGCGATCTGCTCGACGACAAGCCTGCGCGTGCCGATGCCGTGGCCCGAGATGTCATCAATCACGTTGACCACCCTGCCTATCGGCAGCATCTTCCTCGACTGCAGCAGGAGGTCGTAAAGCATGATCCTCGCCATGGTCGTCGCACAGGAGCAGCCAGCGATGACGGTGTCGTCTATGACCAGCTGCTCGCTGAGGGCTAGGTCAGCCCTGGCCCTGCGAGGGCCCGAGTACAGCACACACAGCGCCTGGATCAACCCCGTGTTGAACTCACAACCCCGTGCCGCTTCGAGTAGTAGCCCGTGGCTGATCTGCTCGTAGAACTTGCTGATGTCGAAGTAGACCGATGCAGCTTCGAAGTTCTTCTCGCGCGCTAGGCCGAGCAGAAGGTTGTGGATGCATGCCGCCCTGTCACAACAGGTGTCCGAATCTGCCCCCCAGTATTCGGGGAGCTTGTGGTCCCTCTCCCAGCCCGCGCAGTACTTGCGCCTGATGCGGCTCCAGATGCGCATCCACATGCATAGGAGACCGATCGGGCGTCGGCCCCCGTCGGGCTTCCCCAGGAAGACAATGATCGTGGTGAAAAGCTCCGACGGCTGAGGGTGCCGTTCCCAGGCTGTCAAGATCTCGGCCAGCTGGTCGGCGCACACCCTGCCTAAGCTGAGGATGAGCCTGGGGTGGAAGGCGTCCCATCCCAGAGCCGTCTTCCTGGGGAAGGTATTCGCCGCTGTCAGCACATCCTCCGCCGTGATGGCATCCAGCCCCAAGGGTTCGTCCCAGTTCTCTGGGCGGACGCTGGAGGAGCTCTCCTTGTGCCAGAGCGCCTTCCACTCCTGCAGGATCTTGTCCAGGGCCTGCTGCCCGACCAGCGGGACTGGGGGGGCCTCGCCCTCACCAGGGCCGAGGATGGAGCAGGTCTCAAGGTTGGCCTGCTTGATGATCGCGTGAGCACCCTTCCCGTTCCCACTAAGGGCCTCGGCCATGAACTCCTTCCAGCGCTGCCTGGCGATCTTCACGTCCTCCTTGCGCTTGACCTCAATGGCGGCACTGATGGCCTGGAGGAAGATGCCGCCCTGCTGCGACCTGCCCGCGATCTCCTCAAGCATCGTCGCCATCTTGGTGCCGCCGAACATCTCGCAGCCCGCTGCCTCAAACTTGGGGACCAAGCCCATTGCGGCCGCCTGCAGGCGCTTGACGTGCTTGTGGTGCCCAGGCGAGGGATGAGGCACCGACGCCGCGGCCACCAACTGAGTGGCCAGGCGCCCCAAAGTGATCCAGCAACGAGTGAGCGGGCTGGTCCTGCGCACCTCCTCCGAGCGCAGGAGGTGGATGAGCTGCTTTGGTACCCTCCTAAGCCCCTGCGCCCTGCCTCTGTACTTGGCGCCGTCCTTGATGCCGAGGAGGTGTATCAGGCGCACCTCAGCCTGGTCGAAGAACTCTGTGATCGCCTTGTTCGGGCTCCCACTCTCGTCCAGGAGCGGCGCCTTCCAGTCCGTCAGCGAGTCCTCCTCCTCTGGCTCGGGCTGGATCCCCTCCTGCTTGGCCGCAGGCAGCTCGAAAGGCTTGGGGCCCTTCTGTACCCAGACACCTGCCTGGCTGCTCAGCTTCTCGAAGGTGAGCCTGACGGGGACGTGCGGGTGTGTGGTCGCCTGTCTGAGCACCGGGGCGGGGGCATTGGTTAAGGAACCCTTGCATCAGGAATCCATGGTCTGAGAGCTGGTAAAACATCACTTGAGCGACGAAGCCACAGGAGTCTTGTGCGAAATGACGTAGCGACCTCACGCGGTAGCTCACGAGGGCCGACAGCGCGGCACGCCATGCTGGAAACGAGGGCGCTCACACGCGGCCTTACGCGGGTTGCTCACGCGCCAATGTGGGTGCAAATGATAATGTTTCCTCGCTCCGCTCAATTGGAACTTGGCAACGGGTATCTCCGCCGCCCTCATCAGATCAGGAAGCCCCCAGGGTCCAGACCCTCCTGGGCACAGTACTGAGCGAACAGAAGCACTGTACGGGAGGTGAGGACAGCACAACCCACACCGACCCCCAGCCAAAGCCCCAACTCCTGACCTGATGATCCAGGGGGTCCTGGCTCGCGGTGGACTTTTTCCGGAAAGGGCTTAAGCCCAGGGTTCTCTTTTAATTGGTTTTCCCCCCCGCCTCGATTTGAAGGAGGCCGGCGGAATTGCAGTAAATAACATGGTCGGAAGAGGGCCAGCGGAATTATCCCTGGAAAGGGCTTAGGCCCAGGGTTCTCTTTTAGTTTTGTTGTTTTCCGGTGCCATGCTTGAATGAGGCAGGCGAAATTATTTGCGATCAGTAACTCGGTAAAGTCCCATT